CGGCTGAACGGCTACGTAAGAACTCGGAAGGATAGGGACACACGTCGTTGCCTTTTTGTCGTTTCTGCCTACGCTCCCACTGACTGCAGCTCAGATGATGTGAAAGATGAATTTTACAGAAAGCTGTCCGAACTTCTTCAGAAAGCTAAACGCTCAGATATAGTACTCGTAGCAGGTGATTTTAATGCTCAGATAGGCAGTTTAAACCAAACAGAAAGGCATTTAGGTGGATATTTTAGTATTCCGACACAGCGAACAGATAATGGTGATCGTCTGCTGCAGCTATGCTTAGACAATCGTTTATTTTTAGCAAACACAAATTTTAAGCATAAGGAGAGACATCGTCTAACATGGCGACCCCCTACACCAAACCAACGATGGACTCAAATAGACCATATTGCCATCAGTCATTGTTGGAGAGGGTCGATAGAAGGTTGTCGCTCATTTTGGAGTACCTGCTTGGACTCCGACCATGCCCTAATACGGGCACGCATCTGCTTGCGCCTCACTGGACGCAAAAAAGCCACATTAAAAAGACCCGTTAGAACTGAGTTGAGTAACGAGAAAACCAAAAGTAGGTTCCAGGAACAACTGAGGTCACACTTAGGTAGTTGTGAAGACGAGGCTGACCCAGATGTTGCTTGGAAGGGCATACAATCAGCTGTGGAAACAGCAGTAACATCTATTAGTGACTTAAGCCACAGAGTTGCAAGGAACCAGTGGATTTCCTCAAGGTCTGTCACACTGATGGATTCTCGCAAACTCATCCCATCAGGTTCTGAACATGATGAAGAGCGAAAACAAATCAGATCTAGGTTAAGAAAAAGTCTAAGAAACGACCGTGAGCAGTGGTGGACATCGAAAGCAAAAGAGATGGAAAAGGCGGCGACTATAGGGAACACAAGACAGCTTTACAGACTAATAAAAGAAACTGGAATTAATAAGTCAAGTGTAAGTGAGATTATATCGGAAAAAGACGATACACTCATCTGCTCCAAGTCCAGGCGTCTAGAACGATGGGCGGAACACTTTAGGGAACAGTTCAGCTGGCCTTCAGCTACTCTACAACTACCCTCCATTCCCAGACAGTGTGAATGGAACATTGAAGTAGGTCCCCCGACTCTTGCTGAAGTTCAAAAGGCTATAGTTAATCTGAAACGAGGAAGGGCAGCTGGTCCAGATGGACTGGGTCCAGAAGTCTTTAAGGATGGTGGTCCAATTTTAGCGATTAGGTTGACTAATATTTTAGCTAGGATCTGGGAGTTAGACGTTATTCCATCTGACTGGTCACAATCACTTATCGTCCCAATATATAAGAAAGGGTCAAAATCATCCTGTGACAACCACAGAGGAATTAGTTTAACAAACATAGTATCTAAAATACTGGCCTCGATAATTATCAAACGCCTAACTAAGACTCGTGAACTACAAACTCGAGAGAACCAAGCTGGCTTTAGACCTGGTCGTGGCTGCATCGACCACATATTCACCATTCGTCAGGTTCTAGAACACAGGCATACCTATCGGCGTCCGACGATGGTGGTATTTCTTGACTTAAAAGCAGCATTTGACTCTGTAGACCGCGAGACTCTGTGGCAGTGTCTGTCACTGAAAGGCTTACCTCAGAAGTACATAAACCTTGTGAAGGCTCTTTACTCGAACACCACTAGTCGAGTCAGGGCTTATGGCGAACTGTCATCTACTTTTGCAACCTCAAGTGGTGTCCGTCAAGGCTGTCCACTTTCTCCATTTCTGTTTAACTTCATCATAGACCTATTGATGGAAATAACACTCTCGTCGACTGAGTTCTCGGGTATTGATCTCCATCCAGGAGGTCCACTTATCGACTTAGAATACGCAGATGACATAGTCCTGTTTGGTGAAGACGCTGACAAAATGCAGAGTCTTTTGGTAGCACTGAGCAACAATGCCAGAATGTTTGGGATGCGCTTCTCTCCCTCTAAATGCAAGTTGTTGCTTCAGGACTGTCCTGCGTCAACACCTGAACTAAGGATAGGGAGTGAAGTAGTCGAACGCGTCGACAACTTCACGTATCTTGGAAGTGTGATCAGCCCTAATGGGTTGGTGTCTGACGAAATCTCAGCACGGATTCGAAAGGCTCGCCTGGCTTTTGCCAACTTACGTCACCTTTGGCGAAGGCGAGATATCCGTCTATCAATAAAAGGACGAGTATACTGCGCGGCAGTTCGTTCTGTTTTAATTTACGGCAGCGAAACATGGCCTTTAAGAGTAGAAGACACCCGTAAGTTACTAGTATTTGACCACAGATGCCTTAGAAATATTGCTGGCATCTGCTGGGATCACCGGGTAAGTAATAGTGAGGTTAGACGCAGGGTATTAGGGAATGATGGTAAATCAGTTGATGAGGTTATGAATCTTCATCGGCTGAGATGGTTGGGCCACGTGTTACGTATGCCTGAACACCAATTACCACGACGTGCAATGCTAACCGGGGTAGGGGATGGTTGGAAGAAAGTTAGGGGCGGCCAAACCAAAACGTGGCATCAGTGCCTGAAGTCACTAACTTCTAGTCTGAGCCATGTTGGTAGATGCAGACTACTTGGTTGGGGTCCGCGTGACTTTCGTAACCAATGGTTGGAGACTCTTGATGACATGGCTCAGAATCGATCACAGTGGCGTCGGTGTATACACTCCCTGTCTTCCCTTAAACTAAGAGACTAAAATCACTTCATTCTTTCTGTCTACGAACTAATTCTTCCTTCCTATACTATATCCTTATTGCAACCTTTGACCTAACCACTCCTATGAATCCGCTGTTCATCTTGCTGTGCTAATGAGGTATGGCAACCTGGACCGATGCACATATGTGCCTGGTCCTACGTTGTAGCTGACTGACTGACACTATTGATTTGTCTGGTGGCCATCCTGATTCCTTCGATCGTTGGTGGAGTGACATATATAGGAAGGTCTATAGATGATGCTTCAATGTCCAGTGGATTCAACGGAACTGGTCTATTCAAGAATTTCTCGGAGTGTTACAACCATCTGTTCCTCTGTACTTGAACCTAAGTGATTGTCTTTCCCTTTTTGTCCTTGACTGGTTTCTCTGGTGTCCCTACCAGTCTCTCCATCGTGTCACATGATTGTTTAATCTTTCCTTCTGATGCAGCTTTTTATGCTGTCGTTGCTAGATCTTCCATGTGTTTCTGCATGTCGGCTCTAATACTCTTATTTACTTGCGTGTTTGCTTCTGTGTATCCAGGTTGTGGCTTGACTTTCTCTGCTCTTATCGGAGTGTTGTTAATTGCTGTCCTTTTTCTTCCTTTCTTGGATCTTGTCCAGGGTTTTCATGTACATCCATTCCTTATGATGATGCTTGTTGCGGCCCAGCACCTCCTGACATGTTGGAGTCAGTGCTTCTTTGATCCTTTTCCAGTTGTCCAACATGGTAGCTTTTTCTTCCCTGAGTAGTTTTTGTGGGTCGTGGAACTTATTGTTGAGAGGTACCTTGAATTTGTTGAGTTTGTCAGTATTTCGACGAAAGACTTTATTGAATTTTTGTAATGCTGCTTCTCCAGTTGTTCAGTGCTTCTTTACCATTAGTTTCATCATGGCAATCATCAGTTCTGAAGCTATGTCAGCTCTGGTTGTTTGAAGGACCGTCGGCCTCGTGACTTCGGAAGAATATCAACTTCCATCATGAGACGTCATAATTTTTCCTTGAACTCAGAGGGCAGAGTTTAAATGGTTTGATTTGTTTTATCTGGTTAGTGTTTTTTAACAATTATTTTCTACGGGATAGGCTTGTCGATCACACTTCCTACTCTCCTTGCTTACCCGGGCATGAAACCGGCAGTAACTCTAGAGGAGCTAAAGGCTGAGTTAGTGTAATGAGTAATATAACTGTTTTTTCAACCGATTCAAACTGTATAAGATGAGTGAGTTTTATACAAATAAGTACAAATGATTTAGTCAAAGTATTGGAAATTATTTTCGAATTAATAGAAAATTAATAATAATTAATAAATTTCAGTTATAAACCCTATTCATGAAAGACAAACAATAAAATGTACTGTAATATTGTGTATATTTCAAATCCATTAAACAGTGAGTAATTTATGAACAGTTAGATTACGAATACTCCTAAGCTTGTCCGAATTTCAACCAAACCTACATCTATTTGTTTTCACATGAAACAATGTTAATTTTTGAAATAATTCTGTACAAAAAATCCCCTGAATACTCACTAAAACATTGAAGAAGAAATATATAGCTGATTTTTGGTAGAAGTATTTTTGAAAGTCTGAAATTCTATTTCTTCTGGTTTCTCCAGTTTGACATACCTTGCTCATGTTTTCTTTTTCAATGTACTTGTTCTATGTACTCATGTTCTCTATATAATCAGTATAATATAAATATACATATTTATCGTTATAGTTAAGTTTCTTTGAGTTTAGTCAATTAATATTAAGAAAAGTTTTGGATCTAATGAATTTTTCAATTGTGAATTATTTATATTTTAATATCACAAAGGTTTTTGTGGAGATTGTAGTAATTTCAATAGTTGAGATCATGAGTCAGTTGAAGCTAGACCACAATAGAAAACCTGGAAGCACTGGGAAGCCGTTTCAATCGTTGGTTAAGCGCCTAGCGCGAGACTGATATGTCCTGGGTTCGAATCCCATGAGGCGGGGTCGTGGATGCGCACTGTTGAGGAGACCCACATTAGGACGAAACGGCTGTTCAGTGCTTCCAGGTTTCCCATGGTGGTTTAGCTTCAATTGACTCATGATTTCAACTATATTTTAATACTTCAAGTTAAAATATCTGTCTTTATTGTAAATCCATGTAGATCATTAAGAGTTTACTTAATATTAACAGTCTAATGTACTTACTGGTTGTGAATAAATACATAATTGTTGAAATTCTGGTAATTTAGACTTAGTTAAACTACTCCATTCATAATCATTATATTTATTTAAAACATTTTCATCATTGAAATAGGATAATTTTCTTACAGCTTGGTCATAGACTACATGTAGATCTTCAAACTTTTCATTAGTTACATCAATAAATTTATCATCATTACTGGAACGATTAGTATTTGATGTGGATGGATAACATGTAGAAGTAAAAGGATTTACTGGATTCAAATTAATTTGTTCTTTAGAATTTGTAGAATACAATATGCTTATTGGTTGTACACAATTATTAGTTAAAAAATTTGTAGAAATGGGCTCTAAACGTACAATTAAAGGTTGTGGAAGAACAGTAGCTTGTGTAGTTGAGGAATAAGAAAGTGAGGAATTCGCTGTTTCATAATAATTATTTACATATTGGGAAAGTGATGTATTATATTGTAATGTTGCATAATTTACTGTAGGCGTAATGTCACAAGGTGTAATTGAATTATTTGGGATATCACTTATTAAGTTGGGTAATAATGAATCAATATTATGAATATTGTCATCGTGCATAAGTTTCGTTCTAATCGGACTCATTTCTGAAATAAAAATAAAATATAATGAAATCAAAAGAGATTATAAAAATTGATTTAAGCAGTATTTAATTGAATGGAGAAAAATATGAATACCTCTTTTATGGTAAAGTAAAGCGATAATAACATAATATGCGAAATTTCTCTATGATAGTGGTCACGTAAACAAGTCCTAGATTTTATCTTGGATCTGACAGAAAGTCTCTGATACCTTTCTGTATATCCTCATAAGCAAGAATTAAAGACACTAAATATGACTTATATCCTCAAATAAATGAGCAGAAATATTGTTTGTATCACATTATCATTTATGCCATTTAAAGATCTCATTGATAACGTAGTTCGTATTTTGCAGTTTTAAAATAATTTTACAGGAAACTATGACATCAGAAACCCCTAGCTAAGAAGTATAAGAGAGCCTTTCTGTTACCTTAAGTTATGGCAATTTTAATTTGGTGGGCTACAATGATGCGCCGCTTATATTTATACATGAAGCTTGTTCACAAAGGTTGTGTCATCAATATCAGATGGAGGATATGGAGTCTGTTATTAAATGTTCAGTATATACGTAAATATCTCAATGATAATTTGTTTGACAGATACTAAGTGACTCTAGAACAAATACCACAGGATGCATAAGCTTTCTTAATTTTGTTAGTGTCATTTTCTGAGAATGACAACCTCCCCCGAAACCTGGAGTGAGCATTTTTGTAATATAATTTCTATCAGCTAACATTAGTTATAATAAATAAAAACAACAAAAATATTAACCTTTAACTAGATCGAAATAAACAAAAGTCCTAATTGTAGTACTTCACATAAATTATTGAATAGTTAATTTCAACAAATTTACTGAATGTAACTTTGGTGAATATCCGACAATTGTGGACTTTTTCAGTTTTAATTTAAAATACTTAAAATTGATGAAAAACTAATCCTTGTGATAAAATAATGTTCATAATCTTGAGAAATTTCAAATAAGCTAATAAGTAAATTGCCGAATAAATTACATTTCAAACATTCCGCTCGAAATTTCTGGATAATTTTATTGGTTACATTCATGTATTTGTACGTCAAATATGTTCAACCGTGATGTGGTTCTCGATATAAGAGAGCATGAACAGTAAGATATGCCATGATTTAATACTATTTTTCAACAGGACTTACATAAATGTTAGTTATAATCATGCAATGAAGGAGTTACAGCATTAATTATTCTACATATAAATAATCCGATTTTTCGTTAGCGAAGTTTACCACTATTTATGAAACTTACTTATATTCTGAAATCCTTCCTCATTGAAAGAATAATCTCCTTTGATTTCATTGAGTTCGTTAGTATCTTTTGAATTGTGGATTACTGAATTGTTTTTAAGTTTTCTATATTTAATAATACAAGCTACAGAACACATTAAAATAATTGATAGTAGTATTGATACCACCACTGTAGACAAGATTATGTAATTATTTAAAGAAAAACGGTTATGATTACTCCATTTTGAATAGGTAAGATGATTACCTTCCCAATTTTCCATATGATCCATATCGTAATCATCATCCAATTCGTAATCAAAACTACCTTTTGTTTCTGATGGTGTGATGTTTACTGGCTTAATGTGAATTGTTATGTAGGAATATTTTGATATAGGTATACCTAAATCATAAGCTCTTATCTGAATATTTATTGTTTTGTTTAGATCTGATAGAGAAAACTGTGTATTTAAACGTAATAAACCATTCAATGGATTTAATGAAAATAAAGAATTTTTTAGGAATTCATAATTTTTAACCGATTGGTTCATTGCAAATGAATCTTTTATAGTTTTCATTTGATCATTAACGTTATTGTTCTTTATAACTTCTCGTGTTACCTGATGTATTTCATACCTGACAGTGCCATTTATACCTGCGTCGTTATCAATTGCATGTAACTGAAAATATAAAAATATAAATATGGTTATAGAACAGTTTTATTCACATTAATTATATTCGATTAAATGTTATTGATTGAGATCATGAACCGATTGGTGTTAGGCCACCGTTGGAAACCTGGAAGCACTGGACGGCCGTTTCGTCCGATCGTGGGACTCCTCATTAGTGTTCGTTCATGATCCCGGAAGTGGGAGTCGAACTCAGGGCCTTCAAAGACCATCGTTGGAAACCTGGATGCACTGGACAGGTTAAGCGTTCGCGCGCAAGACTGAAAGCTCCGCGTTCCAATTCTGTGGGCGGGATCGTGAATGGGTACTGCTGAGGAGTACCACAATAGGACGAAACGGCCATCCAGTGCTTCCATGTTTTCAATGGTGGTCTAACATCAATCGGTTTAGGATCTCATTTAAATATTTTATTCATACAAACTTCAAGCTGCTTGAACTAATGCTATTTACAATTTAATGTATTTAATAACAATAACTGAAGAAATATTGTTATGTTAGTAAAGAGTTGGTTAACTAAATAAAACCATGCTCTTCACCATACACTCTAACATTTAAAATTTTATCTGTCTAATTTAGTTGAATATTGGGCACAAAAACTTGTGGGTGTTGTACATTATTCGTTGGAATAAGCGAATATAAGAAGGTAAATATCGCTTTCATTATCACGGTGTGGTGTGTGCTACTTATATCAACATAAGTAGTATATGACGTTAGTCAGGAACAGAATGTCTGGAAGCAGAGAGACAAGAAGATCGGATAGTAAACAATGGAAACAGATTTTAATTTGTATGAAAATGCAAGAACAATGAAGTCTGAGTCATTTTAAGACATTTGATGGACATTTTGCAAATTAAGCTTTTACTATATGATTGTTAGATATTATTATCAAGTTCTGTAATTTTCTGTCAAATACTATTCGATTGTTCACTACAACGTTAATTATATGACATGAAAGACGTTCATTTAAGAAATCCATATTTTTTCTAGAATTGTTTTAAGGCATTGAATAAATTCAAATATTTCGAGGTTTAGTTTACTTTACGTATGTTAAAATCTGTGTGGATTTCCGTCAACTTTATTTTTATTACAGAGCTGGATTCTAATTTACAACACAAAAGATCATGTCCAGAATATAAGTGTTGTGGTTAATTTTGATTCTTCCTGAAATGTGAAATATGTTTTAAACTATGTTAAATGTAAGTTGCTAAATTATAGGGGTCAAAAGTAAAGTACATTTTGCTAAAATCTCAGTAAAATGTAGAAAAATTCTCAAAACACTTAAGGATTAAAATAATTAATGAAGTAGAAACATGACATTTGTCGGAACGTTATGATATTCATATCTGCATAAAACATTTGAAGCAATGTGATCACATAATAATTCATTATATAGTTCATATAAAACGTAAACAAACTAAATGAGTAGGAATACCAAAACAACACAAATATGGAAGCGACAATATTACATTTAGTACACACGACATCAGAATTAGAATAAACAGAATGGAATGGATTTGCTCCAATTACAGATTTATTTTCATCACATAAATATGACTTAAGTTTTTAGAGGGGAAAACCATAAACATATACGAGATATTGCGGTTGAGTGGATTCAGATCATATTGGTTTTGAGAAATGTATTCTTTTTAAACCTATTCATGCCGAACAGTTCTTTTGAATTTGATTTTATGTTTTACTTTGATCTAAGTTTTCTTTCATATGAAATATATGTTATAATTCTGGTTTCATCATTGGGAACGGATATTACATTTTTGTAACCATAGCAACCAGTTACGTTCAATTTTCAAGTGTGGATCCATCATTAGAAAATCATTTCGTAACTATTTCGATTACATAAACTTTTGAGAAGCAAAATCGATCTTGGCCATTTGATCTTCAACTGTGAGATCAATCTAACAACTTTGTAAGGTGTATTATATTTTCTCGTGTCTTTTCTTATTGAACAATATCACTATTTCGTCTTTTAATTTCATTATTCATTGTAGATAATAGTTGTTAATAGTTAATGAAAAGCAGAGATGGATCGTATATAATTTCATTTTCTGTTACGGGAGATAAATATACAATAAGTTCACTTTGAATGTCAGTTTTGGTGAGAATGATTATCTTTGTATGATGGTGATGTCAAAACGTTTCTTTTCTAACACCATGCTAAATGAAAGAATTTTTTTCAGAGGATCAATTTAACTCACTAATTTTTCTAAAGTTATTAAATAACACGAATTAGTTTAAGTTGAAAACTATCCGTCAATTTCGTAATCCTGGACCATGCAATTGAAGAAACATCGATTCATAGCATTCTATAAAGTATTGAAGGATTACTTAAACAGACGTAAAATTATACTATTTAAACTAATGAGGAGATTAGGGAAGGTTGATTTACAGACAAATAAATCACCATAAAGAAAATGAAAGTGAAACATTTTCTTAGTTATGATAAAGAACTCACGTCAGATACTTAAGTTTAAGAATTCTAAAGAAGGTGGAAGGGATTTCTGCTCACATAGATTGTGATTAGTAAAGAAATGTTGTTTGTATTAAAATTATACAGAGATTAAATATGTGTATTCATGTAGATGCCTTAAACTATTTCGAATACATTATTTTACTACTTCCCTTGACGGAAATACAGCGTATTATGCTTTTTGTATCGTGAAGTAAAACAAATATGAAATACTATTTTAATCATACTTTTTGAGTGAGAAAAATAACGATTCAATCAGTCTACGTTGAGTTGCATAACATTTACGATTAAAAATCGTGACCAATAAAATTTGTATTCAACTGAATACAGGACATGTATGTAAAAATGCAAATTCTTTTTTTACTGAAGCACTTTTTAAAAACAAGAATAAATTATCAAATCAACCAAAATGAATAATCCATAGCATCTTTGCATTAGGTTTCTATAGTGAATAACACAAACGTATACATGTTTAGTTGCAAAACGTTTGATAAACAGTAAATCTGAAGGTTTATTCACCTTTTTTTTCAAAAAGATAATGAACTAAATACGGAAATTCTAATTTCATGTACCTTGGTCTAGATCCTATTCATATCATACAAAAATGTTTACTAAATAGCAACTATTTGAAAAAATTTGCCTGGAAACCATTTGCAGTTAAGTTTTGAGTTGAACTAATAAAGATATATAGAAATAAATGATAATATGCATTAGAGTAATGTGTTTTCTTATATATATGTTGAGAACAAAATTTAAGTGTTACTAAGCAAATACGTAGAAGTATAAAACTTGCTGTTTGAATATAAATATTCAATGTCACCTTTTGATCTGACAATATTTGTGAATTGTATTCATATGGTATATTTCTAACTTGTAAGTGGTGTGCGGTGGTCGGTATTCAATATAATCCTTAAACTTCGTATACAGTTCGTCTTGATAACCGTTATTAGATAACGTCCCAACGATATATTAATCAGAAGGCGAATACAAAGTGTTGATTACGTTAATTATGGGACCACACACAGATATCCAAAATTATAGGTGCGTTAAACAAGCATGAAAGAGTTGTGCCGAAAGGCAAGCGAGCGAGTGAGTCAGCAAATATGAGTACGAGTAAGCGAGTACAGATAAGCAAGAGAGAGCAATGAAAATGAATAACATGGACATATATAGACATAGTGAAATGAATGAATCATCGAATCAATTAAGCGGTTAATAGTAAGGCTAGCACCGTGGATAAATGTGTGGACAGTAAGTTACGCTCAAGCATACATGTTCATTAATTTAATTTTAATCTCACATTGATTAGGATTTAAGTAAGTAGTATTTCTTTACCTTATCAACAACAACAAAAATACCTCTGACGTCTCAGTTTTGGTTGGTCATATTTACAACATATAAGTAAAATGTTTGTTGTTTAAACCTCAACCTTTCAAACTATTAAATTTGAGCATACTAATCGACATTGGTTTTTATTTTTGTTTTTGATTATTCAATAATTTGCGAATAATCTGTAATATTAAATTTTACATTGAATTTTCTCACGGACAAACATTAATTACTAAGCAATTTGTTCAACTAGTAATCTATTTTTTATTTTTTATTGCGTTTTCTAAAACGTTTTGCAAACCTTTAACAGGTCAAATAAAGCAAATATTATCATTCTCTTTTAAAATGTAATCAAATAATTTTAAAGAATAAAATTTTGAACAAACAAAACAAACTGTCAATAACATATTTATTTTAAGATTGACCTTGAAGAAGTTTTCTAAACACCAATTTATGTGTTTATTTATTCTATGAGGCTTTTTTTTGACCTGGTATAAAATTTTATTTCTTTTTTTTTAGGAACAAAAAATCACTTTCTAAAACACCTCAATTTACATAAATCTCATAATTCAATTATGACCTTATTATAAATAAAACATGAATTCAAACTATCCCCATCATCATCATCATCGTCGTCATTCTCTCACGTATTCTTAATTCATATAAAGTTATAATCATTTTCTCTATTTTCTGTGTTTCAATCCAAATATAAAATTAAATTTGTAAATACTCTGTTTACTTTTAATTCGTTTTTGGGTTGATTTAAGTGTTTCTTTTTCTTCTCTAAAAGGAGATAAAATATAATCACTTGTTTTGACGATGACAATAACAACAACAAGAAGAACCATTTAAGTCAACTACAATAATTAAAGTGGATTGTTCATATAATTTAATTGGATAATTATAACTTTCATTTTAGTTTATTTATTTTCAATTCAATTTTTATAAAAATTATTAAAGATAAGAAAAAGAATAAGAATAATAAGTGAATTCATTGTGCCATTTAAACCGTTTATTTATAGCTGAGTTGGTGTTAATCTACGGTAAATATGACCCTAAATATAATAAGACCCATGTTTTTACACTACATTGGAATAGTTAAATGAAATTAATGAATAAATAACAAAATCGTTGGATTATTATTAACATGATGATTTTAATTATAATATTCAACTCTATTTACTAAGTTACAGTAATAAATTCTCAACATTAATTAGACAATGTCTTTGTAACATATATTATCAAGTCGTAATGGTATTTCACACTTAGTACCTATCACTCATCCTTATTTATGAAACACTTGACCATTTTATATGGAACAACTTTTACTATGAATGGTTATATTTCGGATGCATGAATTCTAGTTAAATGGCGTTTCACCTCTTCAAACATCAGAAAGGGAGAAAAATATCCCGACAATTTTGATATTTCTTCCTAATAGGTTATAAGCTTTACATAGAACCACGCAATTGTATACGATTAGCACTCAGAATTAGTCATTTAAGAGGAAGCTGAAACTAAGAAGTTTTTTTAGCAATATTTACACAGTTGGAAGAAAGGTTGTTCAAATGTTCAACCATAATATTTCCATTGATGATAATGAAAAGCAATAAGGATGGAGTTAATTAATTAAGCAAACAAGGAGCGTAAAATGATGGAAAGTCAAATTTCATAGGGGGATAAAGAATGAAAGCATGTTAAACACTACTGGCGAATTTGTATTGGTTTAATAAATGTGGAAAGAAAAATGCTAACTCTATGAAGTAATAAAGTGAAGCAGTGTGCACAGCTTTCAGAAGAAGATATATATATATATATATATATATATATATATATATATATATATATATATAATGATTATTCTATTGCAACATTACTGGTACAAATAATTAGTAAGCGACATTTGAAAATTAATCTCTGTACTTTGCAAATTGATCCTGTGACATAGTTAAGCTTTCCATTACTATGTTGTTTATTATTATCGCCAGATGATTGAACTGTAAATGAAACGTGTCTTGTGACCTACTTCGAAATTCTGTCAGTACGATCATATACTTCTTTTCCTGCTGATATTTTACACCAAAACTGTTTCTCATAAAATTAACTCGTTTGTGTAATATCAATTCTAATTAGTAGATCATAAAATAATTAGGCGCATATATGATGACAAACCTATCATAGTAATTTTTGTTGCTTTTTTCTGTGCTCCCTTTTTCATCTATTATCTAGATACAAATGATTACCATTACTTTAAAATGGCACTGAAAATGACTTTAGATATACTATCCATTCATCAGGAGAATGTCTTAGTTCCCTTTTGGTGAAATAACGGTTACCGATTGATGCCTCCTATTGAAGTAATCTATGCGACCAATGTTGTCTCAAAGCAATTTCCGAACTAAATTATTGAAAACAATTTAAACTCATATAACTGTTCTAGACATATATTTGTATCAACTTGATTTTGTTTATAAATCGTCATCCATTCTGTGATTTTTTTCAAAATATATGGTCTACTTATTTACTTAAAAGAATAATATAAAAGTTGATGTTTCAAATAATGTGACCGAAAAATCAATCAGACCTCCCTCGCTTCAGTTACTGACCCAATATTTGTGATGGGTGTATTGTTCTATCTTTGGTTGAAAATATTTAGATAAAATGAGAAGTAATAGTGTAGTGAATGATAATACAGTAAACATTAAAATGGAATTATTTGTCAATTGCATATTATCAACTAAGATAACTAGTGTTTTCAAGAAAAATTTGTTGTTGTTGTTGATATGCTCATATAGGGTAGAATGTACCGAATTGACATTTAGAGATTCTTCTATAGTTGAGACCCTGAGTCAATTGAAGCTAGACCACCATCGAAAACCTGGAAGCACTGAACGGCCGTTTTGTCCTAGTATGGGACTCCTCAGCAATGAGCATCCTCGATCCCGCCCCCCCAGCGAGATCCGGATCCAGAACCTATCAGTGTCATGTGCTAGCGCTTAACCATTAGACCATTAAGCCGGCATCCGACGATGTTCATGTCTAACTTCAACCAGTCCATGAAATTGAGCGACACATCGACCATTGTCATAAGTGAGTTACTATCTCACAACTGACCCGGTTGAAGGTTTATTCAAATACGCAGAAAAACAGAATTAAACAAGACAAAATATTATAAAATCATAACTTCTTCATAATCGAATACGATTATTTGTTTTTGATTGACTTTTATAAGTTATGAAGTGTTCTACTTAAAGATTCTAACAGATTGATTCATTTGTTTAATGATGTGAATGCATGTAAAACATATTTATAAAAAATTCACTAAATTTTAGTCATTTAAACATTATCAAATCTTATCATCAGTAAATATTCACTAAAATAAAACAAATATTTGAATAAAGTGATTTCACCAATTGTATCTGTCCATTATATCAATTTATTTCCTTGTTTATCAGTAGTAAGATTATATAAAAGAAAATTTGTTAGCAATCAACTAATTTAGTAAGTTTTAACTTCATCTGAGTCAAGTATTTATCACTTTATACAAGTAATAATAAGTAAACTAACTATATCCTAGGCTTGTAAAAATCAACAACACTTCATAATATCCGAATGGTTTGAAAAAGGAAAAAAAGAAATCTATCACAAGGATGTAATAAAATCATTCAAAGTAACTAGTTTATTCTATTTCAATTCGATACACTAACTACGTTCTGATTGGCATGGTGTTAATGCCATAGTTCTGTTTCATTCATGGCGGTGTGGAATTTGTTTTCATATAAACTATTTAACTTAGAATGATTCTACACATATATAGTCGATAACTATATTCATAATATATTACTATTTATTTATAATTTTTATGTTAAAGTGATGTCATTTTAGATGGTACATATAATGATGATCTCAAATTAAAAAAAGATTAATCATGTAGGGGGAAGATGATAAAAAAATCACTCACTTTAATAATCGGATATCGTATTATTTCTAAGTATGAGAGTTCAATAAAAGTGTGATCTTGTTTTGGTAAGATAAAATATGGTTCATTATCATTTTCATCTTCGACAATAATGTGTATTAATGAACGTCCACGTTGTTGAGGTTGACCTTGATCTTCACCTACAATCCAAAATTTATATACAACAATGTCTGTCCTATCAATCACTTTTGAAGTTTTAGTTTTCATTCCATAAGATTTGTGTGATAATGTAGATGATAACGAGGATTGAGATGAGGATGTAGATGATTTTCGTATTTCTGAAATTTCTTTTAACTTTTCGCGGTCAATTTTACTCTTCGTATATATCTTTACTAAGTAAATACCTTTTTGTGTGTCGTAATAACTAAGTAACTCAAATGGTAAATGCAATTTAGTTGATATATTAACTAGATTTCCATTTGCTGAATTCGTTGCTTTCGACAATGAAGATATAGGTAACGACAACTCGCTACCATGATGAGTGTATTTATTATAAGGCATTGATTCAATTTCGAAGTGAATTAACCCATTACTGCCTAGATCATTATCTGAACAAGTAATACTTCCAATATATTGATTTGGTGGATTGTTTTCAGTCATATGAAATTCATATACTTGTTTTGCGAACGTAGGCTGTTCATCATTGTAATCACGTATGATAATCTCAATATTGATTGAATTCGATAAAGCTGGTAGACCACAGTCTCGTGCAACAACAGTAAATTCATAGCGATCACATATTTCTCGATCCAAGTTACCCTTGGATTGAATAAGCCCAGTTAATTCATTAATGTGGAAGTGATTAGCAATTGTACGGTCATCTACTATGTAATACTTTATCATAGCGTTTATCCCAGTATCATTATCCGTAGCTAAAAGTTTTATAACTTCATAATGCATCTGTTTCCTTTTTGGATCGCTGTCTTCCATTATTGCTAACTGTAATTCACTGGAATTAAACATAGGTTTATGGTCATTTTTATCAGTAATTTCAACGTGTATTATTTTACTTGACATTAGAGATGGTTTTCCATGGTCATGGCATTCGACTATCAACTTAATAAAATCAATCTGTTCACGATCAAACGACACGGTTGCAGAAAGTTTATAAATCATTTCTGATTGCGACCACATTTTTTTTTCAAGTTGCATTTCACCACCATGGTTTTTAGATATGCCGCTACTAGCAACACTAGACAATGTCTCAATATTACTGTTAGTAATTATTGATGTTAATTTAAACTGGTCCCTGTACTTTTCTTTGAGAAAACATGAGATCCTGCCATTCAAACCGTCATCATCATCGGTTACCGAAATGATAGCAAAATCTAATGGTAAATTCTTTGAATGTTCGGGTATACTTAATGTTGTATTCCCATCAAGTGATTGGAATGTTATTACAGGGGAGTTATCGTTAACATCGATAACCTTTACAATCAACTTTGCAGTTGAAAAAGAATCTGTTTCAATTTGTTTTGGACTGAAGGAAATGGAGTTATCTTCATTTGATTGACTTTTAATTGACTCTTTTGAAACATTCACTTCGTAACTGTAAGGATTTCTTGCGATAATTGGAATAGTATAAATTGAACGTGATCTGTGATTTAGTTTATTTTTAAGATATACAGAACCATTATTAGGATTTATGAAAAAGGTTGTTTTAATTAAATCTGGCGCTTTGGAATCTAGTTCGTAAATTATTTTGCTGTATACATCTCCCAAGTCTAAATCAATCGCTGAAAATGTGTATATTGGTAGCGCTGTATTGAAATTTTCAGCGATGTTAATTTCAGTATAATTCGTTGTAAAATATGGCTTATAATCATTTCTATCTTGCACCATGATAGTCAATTCAAGGTAGCATCTTTGACTAGACTTACCATACTTACTGTTTGCTTCAATTATCAAATGATATTCAGCTAACGTTTCATAATCTAGTGCTTTTGTTATATAAAGATTTAATAAATATGGTTTAATCAGTGATCCAGTTGGTAGGATGATTAAGTTAAATGGTAAATCAAGTTCACGTGGTTGAAATACTGCTGATTGATTTATTTCAGTAGTTTCATTTTTTGTGTATAGAAATATTTTATCGGAACTGACAGTATGATTTGGATGAGCATCAAGATCCAAAGGTTGATGTAGTGGTATGTTAATATGAGAATGAGGTTTAATATCTTCAGGTAAGTAAATAGTCTGTTTAGAATCAGGTGTAAATGTACAGTAATTATCATCAATATCATTTACAGTTATATGAACACGAATTACCTCAATGATATCTATTATATTATTTATTATTTTAATTAAACTTACACCAAATGTTAATCGACAATCATGTGAATATGAAGCATTGTACATATTTAATGTAGATTGTTGTTGAATTTGTACATTAGATGATATTTCTACAAAATGATGTTGATGATAATTGAATTCATTGTATGGACATAATTCTTCACGATCAATTCGTTTTATTACATAGATTCTACCATCTTCTGGTGTTACATGAAATAAATATGCATGATCTTTATTAATTGGTCTAAATAACAAATGTTTATGTTCTGCAATAATATAATTAGGAATATATTTGATTAATACTCCAATAAGTGTTGTATTTTGTTGTTGTTCTTCATGCATTTCTAAACGTACTACAATTGTACAATCAATATTGATAATTGATAATATAAAAACACTAAATAATTGACATAGAAACAATTTAGAATGTGAAATTTTTTGATTACTAATAAAATTTGTTTTACGTGTTTGACAAGTTCGTTGTTTTGTTATAGTAATAGTACATAAATATTTTGATTTATATCCTTGTCCTATTTGTTGGTTGAATTGTTTTTCAACCTTGTCTGGAGCCAAAATCATTACGTTTAATCATGTTGATTGTGTATATGTGTGGGAATATGATATTTGGATCCACTTACTTTTTTAAACTTTCCATATTTTTTACATGAAAATATTTCTTAGATAGAAAATTGTCTAAATTTAGTATTCCATTCGTTGAAATGCTTATCCAAATTTGAATTGCTTTGAAAATGTTTGAGAGAAATGCTAAAATTAATTAAACACTAAATTGAAAGTCAACCAATAAACTAATGCATATAATATTCAAATTTATTATATATACTTAATCATTACTATACATTATTATAATCGTATTACCATGTTGAGTGTTCATTTATTGAGGTTGTTGTGTGTCTCAATACTATTCAAGTACATCATCCCATTTTATGTCTCATGGATCGTTGAAATAAAGAAGGGTCTCGAGTACCTAATTTACCTACATAAATTATGCGATTCTATGATTGATTTACATTGATGAGAAGGCTCTCAAAAGTGATTTGATTTCAAGACAAACTAGTAAGTAGTTATATTAAGATATTAGACGTTTAAAGTCAATCACCAGAACGATGTAGATCTGGATTTTATGAAACTGTCACTCATCAGAATGATGATCTGAAGTACAATTAGAATGGAATTTTTTCATTAGATTAAAAGAAATATCATTCAGTATCACAGTCATCACAGTCCCAGAGCTATACTTCATTATATCAACAATTCTGAATTACAAACATCCAAATTATATGGTAAGCACAAGTTAAATTATAAATGAAGATACGTCTTGCTACAAAGTGCCACTGGGTATGAAACAGACATCCAGATATTTCTTCAGGTCACCTAAAACGATCTAACATTCAAACATAGGTTGAGGGATGCTGAGTATCTAGTTTCCCTTTGTTGCTCTATTTATAGGACTTGTTTAGCACTGAGGACTAAACGGACATGATATAGGTTACTAATTGGTAACCAGTTGCACACTAATCGCATGGTAAATGAAAACGACTAATGATTAACAAAGTTAACGGCGAAAAGTCGTGGTGATAAAATATCATTATCATAAAATCTTTTCTCAATATATTTATTACTAAGACAACTCTGTACATGAATAGAAACTTTATGTTTCTTCTAATATCTGAGATGGTCAGTAATGCCATACAAAGACTTATGAAATAATTACGCTTTATCTAAAGGTCTCTTATAGAATAGAGCTCGTATTTAAGTAGTTTCATAATCATAATGTTATATCCTATCAAGAACTGAATGAATGGTAACGGAAATCAATTGTTTATGGGCTAATTTCATGTATATGTTCTTATTATATAACTATTAAATAACTATATTATATGTATATTCATATTCCTTTCATTATAAGCTTCCATTTTACCTGTTGACTATTATTATACGATTTACCATCTTTTACTTATTCCCAATTTATTAGTTACAGTACCTCACACCCACAGCCACTTTTTTAGCATGATCTTGTATGATTGTTATTTCTGTTTCATGATATGATGTGCTCTGGTTTATTTGTATATAAACCAAGTATATTAAAGATTCCCATTGTGAAAATTGGAACAACACATATAAGCGAACAATTGTTTTCAATTAGATCGTCATCAGGCTTTACTCTAATATACATGAATATTTATACGAAAATTTTAAACCAATCAAGGCAATATGAGTCAATAATCACAATGAAATAGAATAAGTCACTACACATAAAATAGGTAAAAGTACAAGTTGATAGTACGAAGACAGGTGAACAGATAGTGGTAAGAATAATAAACTACAATAACAAAACTCTTATCAATAGTTAATCGTTGGAAATAGAAGGTCAAATAAACATGGGTAAATAGACAAGGAATAGTAATCACAAAACCTTAAAATCATTACGTAATAAGATGTGTGTAAATAATTACATAGTGAAGAATAAAAAGAGGCGGATAATGACAAACAAATAATGGATGTGGAAATAAGGTTAACAATAACACAGATAGAATAAAATAAATAATGATAATAATAAAATTTATAAAAAAATTTAAAAAAAAAATTGTTAGTTAAGTTATAACTGGCCATGGAAGGGATAGGGGAGTCACGTATTTCTTCTGTACACATAGATTGGGGTTATATGTACGAATTCCAATGGCTTCAGCTATATATAGGAGACGGGAACGGACTCCGTCGGGAAATGATGGAGGTATACGATAGATAACTCGAAATGATTTCGATTTCTCTACTGCATGACCGCTATCAATAAGATGTGCTAGTATAGAACTGCGAATAGTTTTTCTCTGACCCTTTATGTACCAAGTTGGTAGATGTTCACTCATTCGTTGGTTAAGTTGCCTGGTAGTACGCCCTATATAGCTATCTCCACAGGAGCAGCTGAATTTGTAAATGCACATGGAAGAGGCTTATATGTGTTGTTCTAAACCAAGTATGTCCAAAATACATGATTTGTATAGCGGAGGCTGATATTAGTGTTATGGACTAAACCGGCTAGATTAGACGAGAGGCTCCATTTTAGGTAGACCGATAAGAACTCAAAGCTGAATCTAGGCTACTCCTACTGATTTATGCGTCATTGGTCTGATCAACAACTTGATGTCCTATTTGGCGATCGTATCACGGGAAAATTAAGAGGCCATGAAGACATAACACGTAATAAATTAGATTTTAAAGATCGTTATATCTTTTGTGAATTAAGTAAAACAATCTGATCGAGTATGACGAGAAATAGTATAAAATTAATTTACTGTCTGACAATTTTAAGAATGTGCAAAGTAATATGTTAAATGAATCTTAACGAAAATGTCGAATAGAAAATTAGGTATTTCAGAAGATACTAAATTCAAGTTACATGTCTCTTGATAATAATCAAATAATTAATTTCAGGGAGATTAGAGAACGAATAACAAGTTACAATCAAACAAGATACAAGCCCTGGATTTCATTACAATCCTCTATTCAATCAAAGGGCTTTTGCAAAATTTATCCTGGTGTTGTTAATACTATGCTCATTAGATAATAAAAAGTTGAAGAAATTGATGAAGATTTTAAAACGCAATACTTAATAATGGTAATTATGAAAAGAATTTAAGTGATGGTAATTCCGAATTACATTTAAGAATAGAGTTAATACTTGATTAATGAATAATGATCAACTTCTCCGAATGATAATTAACGTGTTGTTAAGCTGTCAACTTGAATCAAATCACATGTTAACTTGGTGATGATGAAAATCACTCATTACCTTAGTAAAGTTTATAAGTTAGTTAATACATTCAATCATGTGTGATGTAGAAAATGCATGATTTTTGGGTGGTAATATTATTTGATCCCTTTTAAAGTATAATTAAATAGACTTTTTCTCACAGAATCTATTGGTAATGAGAAAATAAAGTCGTTCGATTTTTCTTTCTCGTTTAAATAATCCCTGAAGGTAAAATGGTGAATTAAATCACAAAGTACTGTGGGGTGGAAGTAATTATATAATGTCTCAATTTTCAAAGGCCACAGTGTACGCATATTGATCTTTTATTTATTTTCAGTCCTTAAAAATCAACGCGACACGTTTGTGGCTTTTGGCATGTTTAACCATACATCGTCTTAAAAGAATGATTATTTATTACTTTTCCGTTAAATTTTACTGTACCACTGAAGGATACGTATCAGTATAGGGTTGTGGATATTGTTGGATTTCATTTGAACCATGAACCGTTCAACGTTCAACCATCATTGAAAACATGGAAGCACTTGACGGCATTTTCGTTTTAGCACAGGACTCCCCAGAAGTGCTCATTAATGGTCCCACGCGTAGAACTCAAACCCAGAACCCATGGTTTTGTAAACGAACACTCTAGAGAACGGCCTCAATTCAACAGTGTCAATGCTTGAAATAGTCATGCGATATCGTAGATTCGTCAAAGTTGGACATTAATATCGTCGAACGTCGACTCGTTGGTCTAGAGGTTAAGAGTTGGCAAGTAAGATAAAAAGTCCTGGGTTCGATTCCCGCATTCGTGATTGTGGATGCGCATTGATGGGAAGGCTTGTGTTGGATGAAATGGACATCTAATGCCTTCAGATTTTCAATAGTGTTTTTACATTGATCGGTTCATAATTTTAATTGAAACTAATGACTAAATTCATAAACATGAACCAATTAGGTTGTATTCACAATTCTTTTTATATGACAGTTTGCAATTATAAGTTAATATTTATATCACTAGAAATAAGTAAACTACAGGTTCATCTAAACTTTTAGAATTAAAATGTAACTAATTTCTTTTCAGCAGGGGTTTTGTGAAGGGGTCGTGGGTGCGCACTGCTGAGGAGTCCCACAATAGGACGAAACGGCCGTCCACTGCTTCAAGGTTTTTCATAGTGGTCTAGCTTCAACTAACTCTTGATCTCAACTGTTTTCTTTTCGTTCATAAAATTTTTGAAACTCTCAATCAACACATATAGTTAGATTATGGTTATTATGATAAAAAAATATTTGAATTTAGTTTTAAAGAAAACAGGTAAATAAAAATTGTAGTTTGTTTCATAATTACAGATTTCTGATTGTAATCTTAAAAAATGTATTACTATTATAAATGTTAAATATTTTATATGAATTAGAAGTAACTGTGGTGTTTGAATGAACTAATGATTCCTTTGTACTTGTTGAATGCTTGATTTCGAATTCGTTCATGCTTATATAGTACTTCTTGATGCAATTGCGTTATTTTTGGGATTCTTAGTTCGTATTATAATTCAAATACTCCTAATTATCACAGTAACTCAATATAATGGAGTCTACGAATAAAGACAAGATGTACGTCATTAAAAGAAAAATACTTAATGAACTTAATTCTAATAAATAAATCACAACATTGAATTGGTTTATTTATTCAAGATAAATCTGTACCTATATTATGGTAAATTTTTATAAAAAACCCCTAGCAAGAATTAAGGTTAATAATTTATTATTCAACAACATTTAATATTATTTACATAATATTCAATAAGTTTCTTCT